AGGGAAGGCATATTTGAATGAGGTTTATTTCTTCATGTCATCAAACATCTACTGAAACACGGGGTGCTGGTGTGCCTGTGGAACACTCAGCACCGCTGCTTAAAGTAAACAGTGAAAGGTAATTAGGCCTAGCAAGATCACAGTAGGAACATGTTGTTGAACAAAATAAACGCAGCTTGAGATCTGATGAATTGAAATAATGAGTTCAAAACAACTGAAACTCCTGGACACAATTCCAGGTCTCTGGTGATTTTTTTGTTGTTGTTTTTTGTTTGTTTGGTTTTTGCTGTGGCATAGCTCTGGGGAAAATGGATCTAACCTGTTCTCCCCATCCTGAAGCAGGATGGACTTCTGCGAAATTATTCTTGACAGGTATTTGTATAACTTCTCCAAAAACATCTGGTGGCTGAGATCCTCTAACCTTCCTTAGCAATTGGTTCCACTGATTGCCTTTGGAGTATTTTTCATGTCCAGTTTAATTCATCTCCTTCACTGTATTATCCTTTGTCCACTGTATTCCTAACCATGTTGCCACTTCATGAGGGAAGAAGCCTACCTGGAGAATTCACAAACGAAAGCTGCAGGAATACACCAAGCATTGAACAGCCATCTTCTGGTACACAGCCTCCGTAGTATTGAATTGAGAAGTCGTTCAGTGCAAATGTAAAAGAACTGAGTGTCATTTAAAAGTGGGAGAAGAATGAGTCATGGAGAGTGGGAGTCAGTTGAAGATGCCTACATGTAGGTCTCTATATGTATTCTAAGTGTCCTTCTCCCATTATAGTCTAATGGGTTCTAATAAATACAGTCAGTGCAGCCTCAAGAATGCTTCGGCTAACCTGCTGCTACAAAGATCTGTGTTCAAGTGAGCTGGATTGATTTCTGGGCTGCATTGGTGATATTGATTAGATCTCTTCTGAGAATAAAGTTATCTTAGACACCCACACGTAGGTGCCCAAGTGACTCCTGCATCACGTGTGCAGACACACATGGCCAGTTACTCTACAGAGCAAGGCATGTCCTGTGGCTGGACTGTGCAGGCAGATTAGGGGAGGATTTACTGGTTTTAGGAGTATCTTGTTTTGAGGTTTTCCATACTGTTCCTGGATTCTTGTTTTGTTTCAAACTATTTTATGTATGTTCTTAGAGCATTCTCTTCTTCAGGGTAGCCAAGCACTTCTCAGCAGTATATGAAGTGGCATGATTCATCTATATGTTATTGGTTTGTTCTTTCATCCCTACCCTAAGGGAGTGGAGAATCTCTCAGGGAATTATCCTTTAAGACTTTCGTTTCTCTTGTACTTCTTGCAAAGTCACTTTCAAATATTTTGGAGGCTCAAGGCTTGGAGCATATCTACATTAATTTATCTGTATTTTAAGTCAGTAACAGGAACAACAAAAAATAGTTTATGTCAAAGCAGAAGCTTGATGTTCTAGTACCAATATAAGGAGCTATAAATCTTAATGAAACATTTGGAGTCAGAACATCAGCTGATCCAAATTTGGTATTGTTATGGAGTTAAGTTGGTTATACTGGTTCACAGGAGCTGAGAATAAGAGTCATGAGAGTTATTCAAGAATTTGTCTTCCAAAGGATGAAAAGTCTTAAGATTCCACCCATGTATTGTTCTCTAGGGGACACCTCACGCAACTCACCTGGAGTTGACCAGCGAAAGATGGATGAAAAGATAAGAGCAGTGTAGTTACCTAGGAAAACATTGAGAACAATTGATTTCTAGCTTATCATCATAAAAATATCAAGAAATAGTGATATATATTTTCCAGTTCTAGCTACAAGTGAACATTGTCTCTATTTTGGGAATGGAAAATTGTGGAAGAAGTTGATGTATGCCTATACAAATAGACTGCATGCTGTGATGTTCAACCAGTAGGATACTTTCATACCACTTGCCCTTTTAGTCTTTCCCATTTTTGTTTGCTGAAGATGTCTGTCTCCTACTTACTGATACCAACACATGAATTTTTGTGTTTGAGTGTTGTACCTTACAAATATGTGAGGCTATGTCTTAGTCTTCTTAAGTGTTGTGCAGAACTCACCCTTTCTGGGAGCTGGTCTTGGGTGTGTAAGACAACTTGCCTTTCCTTGACAGCTTCAGAAATGGGAGCCATTGCAGCAGCTGTTAACAGGCAGCTTTGTCATCTCAGTTTGCCACTCAGTTAGCATGTTTGTAATAGTTTAAACAAACTAGAGATCACTGGAGGGGATGCTTGTGTTTGCAGTTCAGCTATTCGTGTCTCAAGGAAAACTCTGAATCCTCTTTTGGGATGCTCTGAGAGCAGAGAAGCTGTGGGAGCAGCTGCCAGGCATGCACACAAGGCTGATTGGAAAAATATTGCATGTGCTGTGACTTCCAGCTAAATCCATGAGGCACCGTAATATTTATGGAGCAGGGAACTAGCATAATGCTAGGGGTATTTTTCACTTTCCAAATAGGCGATGACCAACAGTGATGCCAGATGCAAGCGATAGGCATGATCGGGCGATAAATACAGACAGAAGCATGGGTGTAGGCGCGTGGAGACATCCCAAGTGACTGTCCCATGGTTGGATGTGGAGTTTATAGTGAGTGAGTTTATCTTCCAAGCTGTACATTATTCACTGGACCATGCGGGAAGCTTGTTACTAGCTGTCAGGACTGCATTTTGGTAGGGAAGATTCCCAGCAGCCTGTCGGAGCCCATTTAAGTGGGGAATATTGCAGATGTCCTACTTCTTGTGAATGAAACTGTCACTACTGCTGCTGTGTATGTATGTTGGGGAGAAGAAGGCGGAGCATATGTCCTTATGTTTGATCATATACTTGAGTTGAGCCTTCTCCATATGGCCTCAGAGGGCACATCCCATCAGACACTGTGTCACTGTGCCTTATTTCCCACCTAGCACCATCCTGTGCAGCTGTCATTTAGCTCTTTGTTTTTTTAAATGTACCTCCTTGTGGTTTTACTGTCATCAAATCCAGATTTGGAGGCAAGTAGTACTTCTGAGGAATTTTATTACTACTACAACTGGTTCTTCTCCGTTTTCAATGATTCATTCATGTGTTGAGATATCCTGGAGTGTCTCAGGTTTCCACTTCTTTCTTCATGATTTCTAGCTGCAGCTGAAGGTTTTCACTTTACTATAAATTTAACTTCAGCTTAAAAAACAAGCATGGACCCCACAAAATAATTTGCAAGAAAGGTTCCATGGCTATCATGCAAGACTTTCTTTTTTCCATCTGTCTGTTTGACAAGATGATACTCAAAGGAGCAAGTTATACCATTGTGTGCAAACCTGATAAACACCAAGTAGTGGGAACATTCCTGCAGTTTATGGTTTGGCACCTTAGGCCACTTCTGCTACAGGTTGCCAAAAAAAATGGGGCTTGCTGACTGTAGGGAGGATGAGTGAAAACAGCCTGGGTGTGATTGAACTGGAAATGTGATTATTTAATTTTTTTTTTCCAAGGCTCCCACAATATCTCGCCCTTTCAAGCAGTATTAAGCTTGAGGCTGTTCAGTGGGGGAGTGCCAAGTGAGCTGGAAAAGTTAAGCGTTGCCTCTAGTGACAGAGGGCTCTATTGTTGCAAAGCTTCTATCTCCTTGAAAGTCCTGAAAATAAATGGAATAAAAATTCTTACAGAAGATGAGCCTCGTGACTGCTTTCTAAAACCCTCTCTGAATTAAGTTTCTTGGTTTTTTGATATTTTTATTTTCCTGCAGGGGAGTGCTCAAGTACCAGACCAACTTAGAGGAACACCCTCCTGGTTGCTTTAATCCTAACAAAACACTCCAAGAGAATATGACGGTGCCAAAGGCTTTTGAAGAGTCGTTTCCTGACTATACTACTGAGCGTTTCCCAGAAGACTTATCAGTACCAGAACCCTTTGTACAAAATAACTTTATGAGAATTTGTTCTGAGGAACCCAAGTTCCAGTCACACTTCCCAGAGGTCTGTATGATCCGACATTTCAGGTATTACAAATCATGCCAAGTCTTTCAGTCAGCCATAACCACTAATTATTACTTTTCCAGACCAGATGTTTTAATAATGGAAAATATTATTAAAACATTTTCAGACATTCAAAGATTTGATGGGGAATAAACAATCTGTATTAAACCTTGAACCGCGTTACAATGCGGTGCATAGAATAGAGTGGAAAAATGTCAAGACATTGTTGCCATGTTCTTTTTTGTACAACACGATAAGAGATGTATTGGTCTTGCTATAAATGTGACTTTAAATTACAGTGTAGCACTTCAGAACAAACATTTCTATAACATATCCATAATGTCCCTTTGTAAGCATTGTGTGGCGGTAGTTAACTGAAATAATCAAACTCCATTTGTTCTCTTTTTCACCATGCGGATGCAAGTCCTAATACTCATTTCTGGGTTGCAGTGGTTTGGCTTTGTGTAGCCTGTTGTTTGCTGACAGGCTTGTTTTATATGTGGCATGGGTAAATGAGCATGATGACAGTGGGGATAGAAAAGCCTTTTCTTTTTTTGTGTTCCGTTTCTCCTTTTCAGTTTTTCTTTTCTTTTTGTTTCTTTATGTTTTAGGGCACCAGCTTTTTCTTCCTTCAAATTTTCTCTTTTCTTTTGACTTGCTGTATTGGCAAGTAGCCCGAGGAAGTTTGGGAATATGGAGTTCACAAGTCCAAGGCCCGCCATTCAAGGTGGTCCCATAACAGACCTCACAGAAGTTTCTTATTATAATTGTTTTCTGTAGAACACATATGTCCCTTACTAGCTGTAGTGGGAACCCATTTTACTACGGAGTATGTAATCATAATAATAAACAGCCGATTCTACTCTGAAGTCCTCCAACAAAGTACTTTTTGGATTTGCATTTTGTTGTGGTAATACTCTTGAATGACAAGCATCAATGTGTATCTGTCTCCATATGGCCAACAGGACATCAAACCGTCCTCTCTGGGGCTTAAGATGTCTGCTTTCAGAGCCATTTATTGGTGAAGAGCTATGCAAAGAAGTGGACACTCGGTGTTCTCCTGGCAGCTGATTTTATTAATAAATAAATATTATTTTAGGACTTTTTTGCATTTGGAAGTGGTTTATGCATTCAGTGATACTAAGCAAAAAAAAAAAAAAGCCTTAGGTCTTGTAAGCTACTGAAGTTTTTAAGCCCAGAGGTGCTTGAGGAAATTTAAATACTCTGGTAGTTGCAAGAGGAAAAATTGGGAAGGGAAGATGGATGAGAGTCACGGCCACTTTGGTGCTGTGGCTTGAATGACTGAACAGATGTGGAATTAGTAGTTAGCTCTGCCATAAGCCGTTAGTAATTCACTCTGAGGATGGGATTTAGCTGAGCAGCTGCAAATGTCTCCATCTGAGGCAGTCACCCAGGGCTGCCCGTATAAGCAGTGCAGAGAAATGGGCATTTCCAGGGTATTATTTGTCTAGCGTACACATCTTCCACAGGGGCAAATGAATCGTGATTCCAAAGGGCCAGTCTATGATTTTACATACATTGGGATTATTACTTAGCCAGCTCAATTGATCTAGAATGGGAAGTGGACCCGCTGGAGACAGGCTGAAATAAAGTGGAATAAGCATATGTGAAGTACTCCACGAATGAGCAGTGCAGAGGCCTGGGAGATGCTACCAGAAAATGAACTGCATTTTATACAGATTTACTATGTAAATAGATTTCCCTTGTCTGTCATTTTACACTGGCTTGATATAAGCATAATTCTGCAGCACAAGAATTGCTTCTTTCTTATTTTTTTGCTTGTACCTGAGCTGATTACAAGAGGGTAATATTCATAAATACTGCAAGTGTCTTTCCATAAAGGTTAACTAGGTTTATAGTACTCTGGTCTGTTGGATTTTGAAACACTGCTGAAACTAGTTGCAATCTAACTACGTAAAACCAAAGTAACATGGCTGCAAATGAGGTCATTAGCATTTTGTTCCTGATGAGTTTTATGATTGAAATAGTTTGTGTTTGTGGATGATGCTGTCGATTTAGACTGATTAAACCTCCATAATGCGCTTGGATTTCTGCACGTAGAGAGATGCGGATGTTACTTTTGACCAAACAACTGTTCCACAATAGATGTGAAATGAGATCCTGCAAGCACTCATTTATTTTTGACACTAGAAAACATAAAATGGAAAGAAAAAAATAAAGTTCCTTAGGGTAACATATTATTGTTCTCCCATAGACCTGGTTTTGGATTTCTGGACCTCTGTGCTTGTACTGTGTGGAAAGGCTGTACCGCTACATCCGCAGCAATAAGGCGGTCACAATAACTTCAGTGATAAGCCATCCCTCCAATGTCCTTGAAGTAAGGATGATGAAAGACAACTTTAAAGCAAGGCCGGGTCAGGTGAGTTTGTGTGCCTCTAAAAAATCACTGCTGTTCAAGTAGCGTTGCCTATAGGGATGACTTTCGCTTTGTATATCCTACCCCATCGCCAAATGGTTTGAACAAACCTTTTCGATCATTTTATTTTCTCTGGCTGATTTTGTTTCAGTATGTTATTCTGCACTGTCCCAGAGTGTCCGCACTGGAAAGCCATCCATTCACCCTTACCATGGTAAGAAACACAAATTTGTTCTATGCCTTCCCTTTTATTTATGTTTGGTAAGCAAATGGTCTTTATTGCCTTCAAGGTGAAATTCCCTCCAGAAAAGCTTATGTTTCATTTATGATGATACCAATGAATATGGAATGGGATTTTTATTATGTATGACAGTGCTCAATACATATTTAATTTTCTGCACTGTTGAGAAAATGATAATGGGAACTTTTTTCAAAGTCTTCCATAAGTGAAAACCAATAATAAATAAGTGATTATCAAAATCATATGGATTATATTTAATAAAAAAGGCTTCAGCTGCTTTTGTAGACCTTAACACAGATTGTAATAAATTTTCTGTTGTCTTTCCTATTCAATGAAAAGATACTCCTGCAACTGCCTTTTCCAAAATTAGAACAACATAAGTTTAAAAAAGAAGTTTCTAAAATAGTCTTTCACTTTATTTTTATATGAAGAGATATATCCATGACTTAAAGCAATATACCAGTGAAGTCGTACAACACTGGGATTATTACTTACCCGGCTCAATTGATCTAGAATGGGAAGTGGACCTGCTGGAGACAGGCTGAATTAAAGTGGAATGTATATAAACATACGTGAAGTACTCCACCAATGAGCAGTGCAGAGGCCTGGGAGATGCTACCAGAAAATGAACTGTACTGCAGTGGCTATGCTGTTACAAAAAGCAGACTATAAGGTTGAATATTAGTGGCAGCCTTTTTCTTCCAAAGAGAGTAATTTAAGATCTCTCTAAACTGTTACTCTTCTTAAGAAGACCATGGAGATAATTATTCACATTTCACTCGTTTCTTTGGACTGATAACTGATGCTTCATCCCCACTGAACTGTACCCAGTGCTATGGAACAGCTGAGACGATTTAATGTTACTTGAGACTCAGACAGCACAACCAGGTCCTCTCCACTCCCAGCTCTTTGATATTGTGGGTGTTTTGTTTTGTTTTAAATGTATTTGTCTTTATGCTGTGCCGGCAGGCAGGTGCTGTCACCGGGGAATCCACACTAAATTCGTTCCAAAATGAATTTTGTGCTGTAAATCTGAAAGTGAATAAGGAAGCAGCTTCTTCATAGCTTGATGAAGAAATATTGGCAGTTGCATAGCCTGATTCTTCCAAAGTTTTCTGGCTATTCACTTAACCAGTAGAAAGCAGAGGCGTGTGTTACTTATCTGTTGTTACTGCAGGAGACAATTTTTAAGGCTTTCCTCACTGTAGTGTGTGAAGATAACTAGATACCCAATGCTGAAAAGTGATGTGCATTGCAGTACTGATGAAATGGTAGCTGGCGTTTTCTGTGCAGAACAATTCAATCAGTATTTATTTATATTTTTAATTAGTTTAAGGAACAGAAAATAAAGAATTTAGGATGACTCAGATTGGTGTTCACACTTGTTTGACCATAGCATAGCTATATTTAATAAAATTACACCTGTTCTCTACTGGTGGACATATTGCAACATTAATCTCAAAACATTGTGTTCTTAATTTCTGACTGTCCATCTCAGTGGAAATTAAAATAATGGTAATGATTTGATCATTAGTAGTAATTGCACGGTTTGGAAACTATGGCACTCTTAGGATTTGCAATTCCTATATTAGGACACTGCTAAAACAATGGATCATGTGGTTCTAATTTCCAGAAATAATGTCATCAAGGGTTATTAGTCCTGGTTCAGTAATCTTTTCTCTGGCAAAACTTCTTATTTGTTATGATGAGAGTTTTTATCAGAAAAGAGACCTCTGACATGGACCTACTGGGTTAGATCATAGGATGAAGTCGAGCAGGGTATTTTATTGAAGTCGGATTCTTTGCATGAGTGGAGGATTTCATCCAGTGTTTAAAATGGCGTACTATAATAATGCATGTTATGAGAAATGATTTTTGCACAAAAACTTCTAGATCTAGGAGCTATGGAAAAGAGATCTCTTGTGAGTCTGAGTTTTCTTAGTGCATATGAATAACTCATTTATATTCAGATAATGTGAATATATACTCAGTATATTTCAGACATATGTCTGGTTGATAAATGACAGTTTATGTAATTTTTACAGTCACATATTAAATATGGAACATTAGAGCTAGCAATGGCCACTCATGCCCAATACATTATATTTTAAGTATGTAATACTAGACTAAGCAATTTCTGCTCGTGCTCAATGATTTATACCTTAGTACAGTGATATCTTCAGCACTAACAGCGTATCCTTCATGATCGGGTACATGTTTTAACTGTTACAAGATATGAAGTTACCACTGACCTACTGAGCTTCATTTTTATCACCACAAACATATTTTGCTAGAACATTAATTACGCTGGAGAACTGCTGTTCTTGGGTAAATGGCTGTTTTACAACATAATGAGGATTTGAAATGTCTTGGTTTATGACAATCTTTTTGCCTAGCCTAAGCAGGGACAGTCATTTCCACATGTGTTTCTAGGTCATAGAAAATGCCTTGGGCTGCTGTCCTGCTTAGAAAACTTTTTCTTGTTGTTTAATATGATGCCAGCCATGAGACCTTGCTTATAGAGTGTGTAGGCAGTAGCTTAACTCAGTATTTTTTCTGCTCCCATCTGACCTACTTGTAACTACCAAGCAGACTGGAATGCTGCTGCAGATTCTTTTATTGGATGATAATAATCCCTGGGTTATTTTTCTAGGCTGGTGTAGGACCGTGGGGCTCAGAGTCACATTAATTGCAGCACAAGGGGTGTGGGGGGCTTTGGATACTGGAATCTTAGTGCAGCAGTGACTGCAGCAGAGCTAGCGGGAAAACTGCAGCCTTCTTCCTGGCGCTGTTGTTTTGCTTGGAATCATAGAATAGTTGGGGGGTTGGAAGGGACCTTTGAAGGTCATCTAATCCCCTTCAATAAGTAGGGACATTTTCAACTGGATCAGGTTGCTCAGAGCTCCAACCTGACCTTGAATGAGATGGGCATCTACCACCTCCCTGGGCAACCCATTCTGGTATCTCATCACCCTCACTGTAAGAAGTGTCTTCCTTATCTAGTTTAAATCTGCTCTTTTTTAGTTCAAAACAGTTATCCCATGTCCTGTTACAACAGGACCTGCTAAAAAGTCTGTCCCCAGGCTCTATGTGATGAAACATCTTGCTGCATCTGGAGTATGCTTAAAAGACAAGAAATGACCAGTTCAGTCAAATTTTTATGCTCTAAGCGAGGACTGTAACCAAAAGTGGAAAGGAAGGGGTGAGTCAGCGTGAAGGAGTCATGCAGATATTTTACTAGTCCCTTACCTCTTCTAGGTTATGTAATATCCAACGGGATGTGGTTTAACAAGG